TATTGGGCACTAAGTGAAATGCTTATTTCCTGCCAATAGTGTTATTGGAATCCAGGAGACCTTATTGCCTTTGTAACGTTCAAAAAATATGGATATTTTACAAAAATTAATATCAATGTAATAAGAAGAAACGCCAACTTGCCTGAATATATCAAGAAAAATAACAAGAAAAACACTCCGAGATTAAAAGAAACACATTTTTTATTTTTATTTTGGTACAACATAACCTTAGTGGCATCAATGCTGATACTGGTAAATACATTTTTAGTTTATAAGCCTAAATATAATTGTTAACTAGGGTTATTAACTTTTTAACTTTGCTTTTTAACTTTTCAATTAGGTTTTTACCTTTTTTTCTTGACTTGTTAAGTTTGTTTGTTTTTTCAACTTAATTTACAGTAGGTAATTTATAATTCAAGGGCTCGTCTAATTGGTTGAATGCCAAAAATAAAAAGTACAGCCATGTAGCAATATCTTTGCTGAATGGCTGAATATAGATCTTGTGCTTCTAGACCTCACTGGGGAACAGGGGGTTGGGGGGAACTCCATTTGTAAAGGGTATGCAAGGCATAAAAAAAGAGGTATAAAACAGAGGAATGGTAAACAGTCTTTTATTTTTTTGTTAAAAAATAATAACTTTTTAATGTGTATGTCTGCACATCTTTGCTTTTTCTGACGTACAGCTTTTTTGGATGTACAGCTTTTCATTACCCTCCACACTAATTTTTACTTTATGCTTTTACTTTGTTTTATTTTTTTAAGTATGTATTCCCACCCAAAGGAATACCCAAAAATTGTATTTTATTCCATTTAATCTGTGAAGGGTTTTGTACAGGCTTACAATACTGCCATTATAGTTTCTACAGTAGAAAAGTGACAACTGTGCTCATGTAATACAAATAAAAGAATCAACATATATTTTGGTGCAAAGTCAATTCTTTTATATACATTTTAATGTTGTATTTCCGGAATCTTGACGTTTATTAGATTTAAATACGTGGAATCAATTTGTTTTGCACAAGGGATAAAAAGAAAATGCTATCCAAATAAAATTAATTTGAATGGTGTGTTTTTAATTAAAATTTTATCCTTCATCAAATTTTCGCTGTTCCAATTTAATTACTTCCCTATTTTCTTTGAAAAATATGACAATGTATTAATACAATGCATTAAAAAACATGTGTCATTGGAGATCAATATCATTTGAGCTTTGGGTTCCCTTTTTTTCCAGCTCAGGCTCTTTTCCCTGTGACCTGTTTGACCTATAACTAAAGAACATTAAGGTGGATTCAAAGAACACAATGACCTGAGTTATACATTCATCTGTAACATGTAAAAAACATTCTTAAATAGTTGCATCCGGTTCAGCAGGACAAGCTGAGTAGGGCTTCGGTTACATCTATTTGTGCTGTTATTTGAAGCACCTTACACTGCAAATACAGATGATTAGGAACAAATATTAATATAAAGTCTACTCGCATTTTTTAATGTTAGGCAGTATTGCAATATACCATAACCTGATGTAACATTAATTTATTTTTTTACTTTTTAATAAACTAAACTTGTGTCACTGAAAAAGATTAAACTATATGCACTAGGTTAATAAAATTAGATTGTATTATTTCTGTCATTAATGATGCTTGTGCACAATTATGAGGATGTTTGTGATAAGTTAATGTAGAGAAATAAACTCTGTGGGAGAGGGTAATCCACTTCAATCTTGTACTCGGCGATAACGCAAATAATGTGTTTAATTTTGCTGATAAACAGTGTTTGATCATAAATGAGTTCAGGAGATAAGACCCAACCTTTTCTTTTAGGAATGCGTTCAAAGCACGCCCCCTACTGGTATCAAGTTTCAACCGCAGCCGAACCCCCCCCTTCACAAAACACAACAGCACATTCAATAATAATATAATAATAATGACAGGAAGCTATTTAGTATGATACCTTTTATTTTTAACTTAAAAAGAGTGGATCAAAAACAGGATTCAATAAATAAGAAATAAATATAATTGCTGTAATAGTTAATAGATACAATATAATTACTCGATTGTAAGAGTCTGACAGAAACAGGCTCTGAAAAGTTTTTCTCTAGAAAATCCTAAAACCAAAATATTGCATTCCCACTCAAACGTTTTCTCCCCATAAACAAAATAATTGTTAAATTAGTAAATAAATAAATTAAAAAATAGCTCAATTATTAAAACCTCCCGAGTAAAAGTGCACCCCCCCTCCCTCCCTTCCCCCCACGTTTCACCTAAAATCTAAGTAAAAATTTAAAATAGGTTTGTGATTTTTTCCCCCCCCATTTTACAATTTGGAATGTAATAGCTTTTTCATGAAGAATGATGATGTCACTAGTTGTATTAATAATAAGAATAATAATGATAATAATAATAATAATTATGTCGCAGTGTTCTGTTCAGTGTTTTTATCTAAAGTAGTTTTCTTTTTGCACGTTTTCTTTTTTTTTAAATGCTGTTCTTTGTAAACTAACTATATACAGCTCATTCAGATCCTTTCCAAAGTCTTTCTAACCTACTCATTTAGCCATCTTTTTTTTTATTTTATTTCCTTTTTTTATTATGAAACATCAATCCCTCTATATTTGTCACGTAGTTAGACATGTTAAGAGTCTGTTGAACTGATATATCAGCATTTTTTATCGGTGCCTTTCCTACACGTGGTCTGAGTTCTCTTAGTTGTACTAAACATCCTTTTCCATACACGCTATGGTCATACCAAGCTGTTGGGTGTATGGATACGTAACCTGTGTGAACTGTGTGTTCTGACTGAGTGTTAGCAGGCGTCTGTTTGCTTTGTGCATTTTATATACATTTCAGCATTGAGGTTCAAAATTAAGAGTACTGTGGTGTATATTAGTGTCTGTGTGTGTTAGTTGTGTGTTGTATGTCTCGTAGCACTCCACAGACGATCACAGGTAGAAGACAGTCTGAAAGCACAATGAACCCTGGACCTTCACCTTCAGCTGGACTCTTAGTCACCTGTGAGGGGAGTTTGAGGGTAGAGGGAGTGGCAAAGGGACAAGAGAAACAGAAACAAATAACAGTTTGTTAAGATTTGTAGAGAAACTAGAGCTTTGTGAGGGTTTGTGAGCTCCACATTTTGTCAAACATGCCCCATCCATCAAACAAGACTCCTGTTTGAGCATAACTGGAGCAACTTTCACACTTCCTGCTCCTCTCTGTAACTTTTTTCCCCTTTTATTTTGGTTTCAGTCTGCGAGCATAATTGACGGTTGCAAAAGCTTTTTTTTTAACAGTAGCGAATCATGGTGCTTTTAATGTATTCACATACTGTATAGTGTCTCTGTAGATCATGCAGTGAAATACGGTAAGCCGTCGATGTTTCCTAGTGTGACTGTATGGTATCAAAAGAAAGCATGTGTGTTTGGGTGTTTGTTTTGTTCATTAAACTCTGAGCACTCGCATTTCAGCAACTGCTGCACCAGGTTTCCCCTGGATCATGGCAAGCAAACACTACTATTAACATGCATCACTCTCTGGCATTTGCAGTATAGAAATTCTGGGTGACAATTTAATCATAAAATAAGATCTTAAGTTTTACACATTTTAACTGTTATCCATCTCTATATATTAATTTACTGAAGCTTTTAGTTCCTTAACTATACAGTGCCTTATCAAAGTATTAATAATAATAATTGAACTTTATTGATATTATTATTGATCTTACATTGGAGAAATGTATCTCTGCATAACCCATTCACTCGGGGAGCAGTGGTTTGCCATCGTGGGGCGCCCAGGGAGCAGTGTGAGATTAAGGGTCTTTGCTCAGAGATCCAGAGTGGCAATCTGTGGGACTTACGATTCCAATCTATGCCCTAACCACTAGGCTGCCACTCCCCCTATTATCAACACAGTTTTCAAATTTCCTAATACAATAGCCACAATCTTCCTCATATTTTATCTGGAGTTTGTCTGAAAAACCATGGCAAAGATACTTACATTTGTTTTTGCATCCTTGCACTTTTTGTTTTCTTATTTCATTGCAACCATAGCTGCAATAATTTTGGAGTATGTCTATATGGTTTTCATATCCAGACTGAATATTTGGAGTCTGGACTATGTGCCCCCCCCCCCATCATTTTGATGCTGTCTTTATAGAACAACTGGAAATTATATTACACACTAGTGGACTCAGTTAACTAATAAGAGCATGGCGAAGCCTCACTCTGGATCCATTTAGTGGTATCAGAGGGAACTCCAGTTGAAGCAAAACGCATCCAGCACTTTTAGGATTTTTAATTGTAAATATGTTTTATAAACTATATTTTACGTTGGATCAACATCATAATTAAACACAATTTGGTGATAGCCCACTAAAATATATCGATGTTTGTTGTTGCAGTTTGGTAAAACTTGTAAAACCTCTGAGGGTATAATTACTTTGACAGGGCACTGTATGTTATATCTAGAACAGAAAAAGTGAAAATCTTTTATTTATGTGCAGCCTTTTGATGTTGCCTCTACACTCCAGTCTGATCGAAATTATGATGGATTTTTTTCTTTACTCTTGTTTTTTTCTCTCCCAGAATTCCTATATTTGATGGCTGTTCTCCAATAAGCAATAGGCACGTATTCTTCCATGACAACCACATACCCATCACCTCAAAACAAGCTAGAAGAAACAGTCTAAAGAGATTGGGATGAAAAAAGCAGATCCACATTTGAGAGAGAGGGAAAAAGGTGAGAAGATAAAATAGAACAAAGGAGAGAGTCGAGAGAGAGTAAAGGCTACAAAAGCAGTGATATAAAAGACATAAAAAAGTCTAAAAGAGAAATGGAGGAGCAAAAAAAAAAAAAAAAAAGTGTAGCTTCACATTATAAGAGAGTCACAATCCAAGATAATGAAGTCAGCCTATCAGAGTACAGCTCAACAATATGCATGCTCGCCCATGAATAGAGTGCATCAAAGACATGACTTGGTCTAACCCTTCTTGCCTGTATATCCCATGCCTTAGATCAGTTTGCAGCCACATTCTTTGTTTTTTTTGCATACCATAAACATGTCAAGTCTTCTTGTCCACCATGGCCTGCCATTTTATGCTGCAACATCCTAAAACATATATGTTTTGCCCCAGCAGAGCATCATTCTTTAAACCCTGTGCTTGTCTCCACCTGTGCGTTATAAAAAAACAAAACAATGGACACCTCATTGCAGATGGCAATGCAGCGAAGATTATTCTGTCCTGCATTACACACTAACAGTGTAACACAGAAACATATGCACACACAGATGTCCACGCTCACTATTTTACCCCAACCATTTGTTCAAATAATAATGACACCAAACAGAACACTACAGAAACTGATCAAAAACAAAGCTGCAAAAAGAATAACAAGCTTTGCTACAGAATTTATCAGATTACGATAAAAGTGATTAAGTATATCAAATATCCAATCAGATCGGTTGAATCAGAGTGCAGTCCTGGCTTATAGAGAGTTATTGATCAGTATGTGCACAGGTCAATACAAAATAAAGTCACAATGCACCAAACACAGTCTGTGATCACTACAGCAACAGGACATGCAGGTCAACGCATGGCTGGTTGCTCGAGGTGACAGAACCAACACAGGCAATAAAATCGCCACAGCAACCCAAACACAGGCCAACCAATCAACTTACAACAATGCGAGAGGAAGGGGGGATCAGGGCTTTATCGGTCACTAGGCAACCATTGCCATAGCGATGGGGTCCTCGTGAATTATGATTGGACGGGAGGATCTTGGGTGAGGTAAGTTGCCGTTTCGGGAAAGATCAAAACAGCAGGGAAGAAATAAGATTGTGAAAGAAAATAAATAAAAAAGGAAAACAATATCTCATCATCTTTACTTTCCTGCTTTTAGGAGTTACCCAATACATATTTACTGCAATGTCAAGCTTCTCCTGTTATAAATTTACCAACGGTTAGCTTTGTTCTGCAATTAATTTGTTCCTGAAGCATACTGCACTTTTATTTCTCTGTTTATTGCCTCACTACCTCCTCACCTCTCTATTTGTTCTTCCTCTTCTCCATTGTTGCTCAGTATGGTCGGTTGGCGTCTTTGGGCCTTTTGAGCTGCACTTTGAGTCTTTTCATTCCGATCTGAAAGCCATTCATTGCCTGGATAGCGGCCTGTGCGCTGGCAGGGTTGTCAAAACTCACAAATCCTAAAAAGAGATAGATAACATCCATCAGGGTGTTATTTTTCTCTTACCTTGCTTTAGATGCAGACTATGACAGTATCTTATCTTTCAGAAGGTGATCCTTTAGTGTTTTTTTCCCCCCTACTTGTCCTTTCCTTGCTCTACTAAACACGCCCGCTCCCTTCCCTCCCCGCTTCTCTCCTCATGCGTGTCTCACCGAAACATTTGCTCTGGTTGGTGGCTCGGTCCACAAACACTTTAGCCGATATGACATTGCCAAAGGGCAGGAACATCTGCAGCATCTCAGAGTCACTGAACTCTTGTGGCAGGTGGTAGATGAAGATGTTACACCCTTCTGGACCTGACTCAGACACACACATAGGACAGACACTCATAAATTGCCGTATTCTTTTAAAAACCCTTGTAGTAAACAAATTAAAACAAGCTCACTGTACAATGGGGCGTGGCCCCACTTAGACAGGAAGTCACATCACCTTCTCTTTGCTGCTGTTGCTGGGGCTGCTGGTGTTGCTGAGCAACCAGTGTTGGCTGCTGGGGAAACGGCTGCCCAACCAATCCGTAAGCAGCAGGGTACGCCGCTATTGGAAGAGAGGCAGGGATATTAACATCTGATTGGGTAACAACAACAGGTGGCAACATAACAGCGTCCAATGGAAAGATTTCCTTTGAACTGAAGGGTTTCCTGTTGAAGGTGAAATCTATTAACTTCAACAGCTAAAGCTATGGAACAAAGACACAGATCCCAGTCTGGTTTCTCACACATTGCATCACCACTTTAATCCATGGTTATAAACATGGAGTATAAGTGGAGTCTCTGTGAAGTTGAACAGTGAAATCAATTACCCTTGAAAATGTTTCACCCTTGACAGCCGGACTAAAGAGATATTGCTTGAATGTTCTTCATTTAATCTTCTGTATGAACTGATGCTTTGCACAGATGAGTGTATTACTTCATGTGCATGACTAGATTTTCAACAACAACATCCATCTATCCATCCATTGTCTGCACACACTCACTTATCCTTGTAAGGTCATGGTCGTTGGGGGGTGTTGGTCTTGGTTCTGATGCCTATCATCAGCAATCAATACCAAGTACCATAAGGTGAGCAGTCTTGCACACAGTCATAGTACTGCAAATGATGGCCAATTAACTCAACTGTATTTTTTTTTTTAGCCTGATGTAAAAAGCCAGAGTAACTGGATACAACCCACCAGGGAGGAAAATACTAACTCCAAACCCAGATAAAGCAGGAGGAATGCTAACACCTTCATTTTTGCAGCTGTTGATGGGGCTGCTGGTGTTGATAAGCAACAAGTATTTGCTGCCAGGGAAATGGTTTCTCTTCAAATCTGGAATAAACATCCAGAAATCTGTAAAAAAAAAAGCTGAAATTCTCAGATTTAAATCGAAATTAAAAATGTATTTGTTTTGAGACTTAGACTACCATTATAGGTCAAGGCTGCACTTTAAAAAAAAAAAAAATTGTCTGGAGAGCTGTTCTTAACGAAATTTCTTTTGGTTTACATAAATTTGTGTACACAAAATAAATCTGTCTAAGTCTAATAAAAAAATAATAATAATAATAAAATATATATATATATATATACTGTTCTTTTTCCCCCTCATAAACAGATGTTTATGTTGTTTAAGTTGTTTTGCCACTGAAATGCTCTATAAATAAACTTTCCTTGTCTAAGGGTCATGACTAAAGAACCAACAAGATTTAGTTAGGGTGAATTATATGAATTGAAAAGTAATTGAATCATATGTAATCAAACTGCTTTGATAATGTTTTTTTTTTTTTTTTTTTTGGTGTTATGACTGAATAGAAGTAAATTCCCACAAACCTGTGTAGTGCTGCATGCCTGCATAGGCTTGCTGAAGAGGATCCAGAGCTGCAGCTGGACTCTGGGCTGATAAAAAAATAATAAAAGCCATTGGTATTAAAAATCCAAGCAACATGATGATCTGTATATCTATAAAGGCTTCTGATTTTTCTCAGCTACCTTGGTATGGGTGAACCCCATTGGTATACAGTGCTTCTGTTTGCTGTCCATTGGTGGGGGCTGGCACACTGCTGTAACCATTTACTCCCATTGGTGGGGGGATAGCTGTCACAGGTGTCGCTGCTATAGTTGGTGGAGTGTTTGTACCTGCAGACATGGATTTTACCAAAACAAAAGCATCATAAATCCCAGATCATGAGTTCTACATAATCTTAGCATTTAATTTTCTCAGCCACTGCAGATTTACAGTTTTACATGCAGCAAAACCGACCCTATCTATAATCATTAAAAGAGTTAAACCATAGTCTAAATTTTCTATATTCTGTCTAATAAAAACTGTCCACAAGACAGACCCCCAGCCTCTCCACTTTAACTTAAAGTGTTTTTTAGGAACGAAGAGCGTGCATGAGGGGGTTACCCGAGGACGGTGTAATGGGTGTAATGGGTGTTGCGATGATTCCGTTGGCATTGAGTGCCGCCATCTGCTGCATCTGTACTGCAGCAACTGTTGCTACAGGAGACAAGTACGCTGACTGGGCGACCAGGGCCTGCTGTTGGACAAGCTGTGGACGAGGGAGAGAGGGGAAGAAGAAGAACAGGGTTAAATTGATATGGGAAAAAGAGGAAGAAAAAAGGATGAAAAATGGGAGGAAAGGCCAGGCAGAGGGAGTGATGGAGGAACAGATGAATAGAGATCTAATTACAGGGCCATTATGTCCCAAGTCAGTGGGTTAATGGTTGTGTGTTGCGGGAAGGCTAATGCCAGATGACGTACGTTCTGTTGTCTGTGTAATAACATTAGCTTCAATTAGACCACTGATAGCCTCTTCAAACTTATTACATCCTTTCATAAGCACAGCACTGCCCTTGCAAACTCGGTGTGTAGCAAATGTCAGTGTCATACAGTGGGCGGTCGTGTCTTTGAGCTTGCCTGTGCGTTGACCGCCTGCGTGTAGGCATTGTAGGCAGGAAAGTTAAGGGTCATAGGGCTGAAGATGCCGAGCTGAGAGGCCACTTGCTGCATCCTCCTTAGCCCCCGCTCCTTCTCCGTGTCGGCAAACTTCACCACCAGACTGGATGATGCCCCCTGTGGGCGCGGACACATAGAAAATGAATCACGCCGCTTCTTGAATTTGCTCACTGGACATATGTAAACTTTAAATTGTGAAATTTTACATGACAGAAAAACTTAAAGGAAACATCATAATCTATGTTTTGGTTTTTAGAAATAATCACAAAAAAGTGAGACACAGATCTGTACTCAGTCCCTGTAGAGCTAAAACTAGAGCTAACATTGCTTTGACCTAATTAGAGAACAGCTTCCCCAGGTGTATGATTTACTCTTATTAATTAACTGTCCTGAAAAAGGCTATGGTTTTTGTTTTAGTGAACAAATAGCATCACTGAAACGAAATATAGTTCACCTCAGGGAAGCATGGTGGTGGCAACATCATGCTGGGATGATAACCTTTCTTTAGCAGGCAATTTATTTCATTGAATCTAACTGAGCTTGACCTACAATACGAAAACATATGGGGTAAAAAAACAAAAACCTTGTCTTCAGTAGTACAAAGCTCGTAGATCCTATAACGACTCAGCTTTAATTGCAATAACATATCTAACAACGTATTCATTCGAGGAGCTGAATGTAAATCAGTGAAACAATTTTCTGTAAAACCCTTTAAAATAGTGAAAATCCATCAAACTCACAATTATGTTTTATGTCTGTATCACATAAATCTGCAATTAAATACAACTAGGTTGGCTGTAATTTATTTGACGAAATAAATTTTTTTTTTTACAAGGGCTGCATTTGGTAGTTTTTACTTAAGAAAATGATTCATCAATGTGTGCATGTGGTCGGATTATTTCAAAAGAAAACTTTTAAAGTATTTGTAATTCTAAGGTTGAGGCTTACAGGCATTGTACGGCTCCCGTGCAAGCTGTTGATTGCTGCTTGGGCTTCGGCATGTCCCTGGAACTTAACAAAAGCACACCCTGCAAACACCCCCATCAAAAAAAACAGTTATTGAATTAATTATAGACACTTCAGCTGATAATTTTTTTTGTAAAATATGTTCATTTCTTTGAGTATTTTCACTCCATGCAATTTACCTTTGCTTGTTCCATCTGGTCCTCTTAAAACAGTGCACTCCTCTATGCTGCCAAAGGGCTCAAACAGCCTTCTGACATCTTCATCACTCTGCTGCTTCCCAAGCATGCCCACAAACAGCTTTCTGTCCTCTGAGACAATAGGGATGAGCAAAAGAAAGGAAAACAAAAGACATAAAATCAGTTTATTTGCCCCCAGGCTGATAACATCGAACATGTCAGTTCTCTATTTTTGCTGTCCACCAGGGAGCAGTGTTGACTACTGAGGCTGGCAATTAAGAGGATGGAGGTAGGAGTGTGATCTGAATGAGTGTGTACAATACTAGTAAGGGTAAAACAGCCCTTCGCTGACTACTGTCTGAGTTAGTCCAATCCAGCATGACAACTTCTAACAACAATAAAGATCTTATTATTTTGAACACATCTCAAAATTTCCCACAAAAAAAAACCTTAAAATATAAACATACAATGTTTGAGAACATAGTAAGGGGTTAGGGGAGGCATTTTGAAAAGGTTTCCACACAAAAGAAGAAAGATAACTCACCTCCTCGTCCTTCACTGTCAGCCGGTTTGACCTGGATTGGGCGATTCATCTGAAGGACAAGCAAAAGATAACATCAGCAAAGCTGGTCAACATTTACATTTCTTTCAATTACACTGACTTCAGGTTCAGTACACATATATAACAGTCTTGTGAGAAAAAAAAGGCCAGTGAGAATTTCTATTAGAAATCAAACTCTTTAATCAACTGTTTTACTCAAACTGAGTTATGATGGCAGGTTCTTTGTAAGATAGTCATCAAAATAGAAAACAATAAAATCCTATGTACACACATAACATCACAGGTCAGAACTGATGGAGGAAAAACAGGTTAGTCAGATATATTTTGTTAGAAATTCAGCCTTTTTAAGCAAAGCCTTTGTTTCAATTAATTCTACAAGAATAGAAAACTATTAAAATATTAACACTAAAAATAAATTAAAGTAGTTAAACAATTTTCTACTTTAAAATGCTCCTTATTTTCTAAAACAAATGTAATTAAGATGCATTTTTGTTCATCTTAAAGGTAAGGCTTTGCCACATCGATGCACTAATCAGCCTGTTCCTGACAGACACTGAAAGAAATTATTATTAGAAAATTGTGACAGATATTAATGGTCCAATGATAGTTTTTAGTTTAACAAGAAGGAATAACAGGATCATTCTCATTTGTTCCTCAAAACATGCCCCTAACATTTATTTGACCTTTATTGAATCTAGAAATGTGCTTCAAAGTAAATGCCATTAGCTGAGGGTTTTCTTGACTAAAAATGGAGGAAGTTTTTAATTTGGAACATTTAATAAATAGGCAAGAAGGAAATGGTTGAAAGTATTTGATCTCCTGATCAGGGGAAATAGATTAAATACTGATCTCTGTTTAGCGGTGATATTTGCTTTTGGACTTCAACACAAACAGTCTTTGATTTGTCCCACATACACACACTCACAGAGTGAGGGGTTGAGAAGTGGCAAGATTAAGAATCCAGGCAAGCTGATCTGGATTATCAAAGAAGTGAGGATTAGATGAGGGACAAGAGTAGGCAGAGACACAGAGAAGAAGAGAGGCATGAAGGTGCAGGCGTGGGAGAGAGGGGGAGATAATGTTGTTCAGTGAAATGACAAATGTATAAAGGGAACGGGCACAGTCAACTGAAAATAAAGGGATAGGACAAAAAACAAGTCAGACAGAGAAGCCTGGGGGACCCCAACTCACATCAACCACTAGAAAGGGCAGGTGGAAGGCTAAAAGGAACCCCGGGGAGTGAATAAAAAAAAAGAAGTATTACATGAAAAGTGAGAAAGCGAAAGGCTGAGAGTGGAAGGATGAAAGCAGAGCTTGCCCCTGAGAGAGGATTCAAAAAGAATAGAAAGAGAAAGAGGAGCAGGCAGGCGGACGGGGCGTGATTCAGTCGTGACTCGCTTGGTCTAAAAAAAACTCACGACTACCAAGATCCACTGCCAAGAGTGCTGATGCATTATCTTCAACCCACATTGCAAACATCCCTTCCATTCATATCTTCTGTACCTTTGGCTCACACAAATAGTAAGACACATGAAAAAAAAAAGAAAACGATAAAAACAAAACACTGCACACACAGTGCTTAGTCATACCACTGAGGGAAGGAGAAAGGGTGGCAGAGTAATGGGTTGGAGGAACAGGGATGCAAAATGATGGCAGCTAAAAGAGGAAAGATGTGGAAAGAGGAAGAAGAAGCAAGATAAGGATCCAGAGGAGGAAGAGACATGACTGAACAGGGATGTTAGAGCAAAGAACTGTGGAACAGACTCTCCACGAGGTTTTTACAGTACTTTGTTTCTTTAAATACTTCTTTAAATACTTCTTTAAATACTTCTTTAAATGTTGCAAAGACCAAGTTATACTAATATGTAAAAGATGTTACCAACAAAAAATTGAAAAAATAAAAATGAATGTGTGTACACAGAATTTAAAATCAACAAAAAGAAGAAGAGATAGTAAGAGGTAGAGGGGGAGGAGGTGAGAAGGAGGAATGGCTAAACGTCCCAGTGGGGTGTTAAGGCAATGTAATGATGCTGGTAATTGAGGAGAGGGCAGAGCAGAAAAAAGACAGATCCATGCATTTGATTAATCAGCTCTTAGCTGTCACCACAACACTATCGATCCATCTGGGCCAAGGCCATCACAAACACACACATACTTCAACACACAGATGAAAACACAACTGCACACATTTCTCCATAAAACTGTCAAACACAAATTAGGAGAGAATGATTGATAGTTTTTACTTCAACCTCTAGTTTCCATCCTTCCATCCATCTGTCCAATCATGCGTCCGTCCATCCATCCATCCATCCATCCATCCATCCATCCATCCATCCATCCATCTGTCCAATCATGTGTCCGTCCGTCCATCCATCCATCCATCCATCCATCCATCCATCCATCCATCCATCCATCCATCTGTCCAATCATGTGTCCGTCCATCCATCCATCCATCCATCC